CTTCATTTCACGGTAGTTATCTCACTGACTATATAAAAATAACTTTGATTGCAGTATGCACGTGTACAGATGCAGCGAAATGACCATGGATACATTGTGCAAACCCATGTTTCTGAATTTGGGTCTATGGGTTAAATGTTTACACATCTCCAAGCTATTCTTAACATTACGCTGAGCAACTGAATCCCTTCCCGGTACCAGAACGTTAGCTAACCACTTTGCAGTGAACTGATCATGCTCACAATGGGTCGTAATGAAATACCTTCCTTGTGCACCTTCGGTAAGCTATATATTTGTACTGTAGGTGTGTAGTGACTGCGGTAGTAGTACGCACTGAACTCGGAATACGAACCACGCAATACGGATCACGGAATAAGAATCGAAGATTAGCAATCACGGACTGGATCACGCAAGCACTGAACTGCAGTTGCACTAGCGCGCAATATCCCACGTAACCGAGACGCGAGGAGAAAGATCTCCGGAGTAGTAGTTCGTTAATTAGAAGAAATAAAGATTAAATAATATGTAAAAGTAGGCTTATTGGTTATACAGGCTCCCACCAATCGCGTTCCAGTATTCCTGGGATCGTTCTACTTCTGTCTGGGCTGCACGGTCTCTGATTGTCTGGTACGATCTACCTATGGTATATAGTCAGAAGCAGTGACACGTACGCCGGTCGATGACGTCAAACCTGAAGTTTGATTGATCGCAGTTGTTCAAAAACTGTAACGCGTCATCTGGTAAGCCCGGATCACCACAATATGTTCTCCTCGGGCGTAAACATTTTGCCAATGATTCTTGCATAAGATTCGCCTAAGTAAGACTTCAGTTCCGCACAAATTCTCTTCTTTAATTCACTTGGATCGTCTGGTTTATTGTCAAGCTTCAACTTTGTTTCGTTCTGTAAGATATGGATCATCTTTTTCTTGTAGTATGACTTATTCATTACTACTACATCGGAACCCTTGTTGGGACACAGCAGTAGAATATTTCGATGAGCTTTTTAATTGTTTTAATCCTTCGATGTATCGATGTATGCATCGGTCAGGAAGCAGGTCTGCTTCGTTCTTGTATTTCGGCATTGATTCTCCATATCCAGCCCAAATCATCCTCATTCTTCCGCTTCATATTTGACAACTGTTCAAAAAACGCCTCAAACACCGCTTTAGTTTCAATATGATTGTTCTTTTTTGGTGGAATACAATAATATAGACCACATGACAAAGCTTTGAGTGTCACTCTAACCCACACATTCCAGGTCATCTACAACACAACAACCAAAAAGTTACTGAACTTTGCCGAGGCTCTAGACATTCACACTCTCAAACCCTATGTAAACTCTATGCAAACAACGTGAATGGTTAGTCACATTAGCTTTACCTTGGTGATTGACCCCCTCTCTTAGCTTATTGCGCTGAACTCGATGCAATAGCCAGTTCCTGCTCGATGCATCCCCACCATCGTACAGTAAAATGCAGTGAGGCGAACTTCACTGATCACTCCCAAACTGGCAATGCATATAAGGTTAGTGGGAAAATTTAAGATGAACAGGGAATGAACCTATTTTGAGGCAGTGAGAAGGTGAGCCACTATGGTCAACACACAGTATTGTATTGTGTATAACTTTTGCAAATACTGGAGCTCACGTTTCAGTTAGAAAGTCATACACGCCAACCATCACAATGTACATAATCAACGCGGAGAAAAGTTTTTACAGGCACGGGGACATTTCATAATCCAAAGTTCACTTATTGTCCGCTCTTTGTTTATGAGTATGGGTGAATTGCGGTAAGCGTTAATTTGGGATGAAATTTGGCGTAACCGGTAGCGTACACAATCGAACTTTGCTTACATACCACTTCAAGTATTCTGGCCTAATAAGAAATGTTAACAAGAAGGCTACTGCTGTCGGTTCGCTGCCATATTCTTCAATGTCTCCAGCGAAAATGTTGTGGAGTCCGTCAGACCCCAACCCAATGGCTCTGTGTATTTATTCATGCTTCATCTCCACGTGGTTTTCTCCAGCCCTGTTAGCTACAGCGAATAAAGTGTGTTGCGGTAGACGACAGTTGGGCATACGCAATACGCGCCTCAGCCAGCGAAGTATACTTATCTGAATTCGGTGTGCTAGCAGGTTTATCCCTGATAAACTCCCAAACATACGACGGCTTATCTCAAAATTACTAACCCGTTCGCTCCATTCCAAATGGGCTAAACTGCGTAAACACCGATAATCGAAAACTTCTAGTTGACGGATATCTTCTACTCGCAAATTCAAGGTCTCACAACTATAAAGCAGAAAGGAACGAACGGTAGAACAATCTGCGCGGCGTTTCAACTTAAATGAAATGTCACGTTATCGTTAATGACGATTCGGTCCTGGGTACGTTGACGATCCTAGGAGATATATACTATTATCCCTTTTGATATATTATCGACTTTGATTATGCAGCTGTTGATATCACAGAAGCATTCTGCGTCCGCCGATTCCTGAACAGAACTTGGTGACACCCAGTCTAACTGCATCACCTCACACTTTGAAGGTGCACAGCGCAAAGCAAAAGAAGCGACAGAATTTGTCATTTTCTCATGTGAGCTTTGCGCGTCCTCCAAACGTTGGAACAGATCGACGATATCATCGGCGCACTCTACGTCGCACAGCTTGTTTCCATCTGCCCATTCTATACATACATTCTGGACATAAAAATAAGCAGTATGTGAATGACTGGACAAAATTTCCCTGGAAGCACACGAGCGGTTT